TGTTTGAGCTACAGGGTTTTCTTGAGGTATAAATCCAGATATTAAGGCATTAAAGGGTTTCCTTTCCTGACAGATGGAGCCGATGGAGAGTTCTCTGATGACCAGATGCCCCGACTGCCCCCAGTTGGGCCTCCATCCTGGGACAGCAATGTAGTGTGCATACAGCCCGCCCGGAACCTCAGTCGCCCCGATGGACTGGAGGAACCAGAGGAGCCGCAGAGCACTGTGAGTTCATTATGGCTACCTCCACGTTCAGCTGTTAGAAGTGATATAGAGGTGGGATTAAGGTTTTAATCAAGTCAGAACTGCAGATGGGCTTAAACTCTTCCCAAATCTCTGTCTTTCTTTTATCTGGACTTCTCTCTCCGCTGTGCTGGCCTCCGGTAGGGCTTAGCTAAGCTGGCATTATTAAAGCCCTGCTAACCCAGAGCAGAGTCATTAAGGAAGTGCTCATGCTCGCAACTAATAGAGCTCGTTAGCCTTGCTTGGACAACGGTGGATTTACCCAACTAAACTTGGAAGAGCTTCAGTCAGTTGGTGTAAAACAGTCACTTTTCATCTTAAGTGGACTGTTCACATCAAGTTTGATGTGACTGAAGTATATACAAATAATTTTGCGTACTAGAGCTATATGCCAAGTCGTTCTTTAAAAAGTTAGAATACCTTAATTGAAAATTTTCATGCCAAAAATTCAGACTATTTACCCTGACAATGTGCTAAATTGGCTAAAATGTGAAATATATAATAGTGTTGTAGCCCATAATGCAGTGCTCTCAACTTGCGCTTCCATTTCAAGATGTGATGAATGAATTGGAAGTAATATCAACCAAAAAACTCTTAAATGTCTTAAATGGATAGATCACCCAAAAATGAAAATTCTATCATTTACTCACTCATGTCATTACAAGCCTGAATGACCTACTTTATTTTAAAGATAATAGAAGATATTTTGAAGAATCTTTAAGATGTTTTTGTGCACACAGTGAATGTCCAAAACAATTGACTTTCATAGTAAATTTTAATTTTGGGTGAACCATCCTAACATTTTTTACCCCCACAAAAACAGATTGAAGATCACAACATAACCACATTTAAGCCATGTAATAACAATGTAACGTACTACTGAAATGTTTTGTAAAAAATTAAAGCCTGTATACATTATATATACTATGCAGTACGCTAGTATTTCATTTCCAGCATAGTCAGTTTATCTCACAATCCTGAGTAATTCATAACTCACTGCTTAACCAGCATAGTAGGATGCATTATATTGATGAAATGAACTAACCTACCCTTGTAAAAAAAAAAATATATATATTTAGAATATATTTATCTCATACTAAGTGTAGTTCTATCTATAGTATCTATTAAAGGGGTCATATGATGCGATTTCAAGTTTTCCTTTCTCTTTGGAGTGTTACAAGCTGATTGTGCATAGATAAGATCCCTGAAGTTGCAAAGACTAAAGTCTCAAAACCAAAGAGATATTCTTTATCAAAGTTAAGACTCTGCCACGCCCCCCTAAAACGGCTCATTCTAACACGCCCCCACATATCTACCCCACTATGTGGAAATATTTGCATAATCCCGCCGCAAATGTGCACGCAAAGAAAGAAGGCGCGGTTTCAGTAACCGCAGTTAGTGTTGAAACAGCCATGTCAGGGAGACGCTGTGTGTTTCTAGACGAAAGCAAAAGCACTTTATTTGGCCTTCCAGAAGTAGATGCATTTAGGAATCTTTAAGATTACTTACAACAGAACAGCAATGCATTTTATGGACGACCGTTTCATGAACCTAGGAGAGGAAGTAATTCTGACTTTGCTATGACAATCTGGCACTTCTGAATCAGCTACTGTAAGTATGTTTTGTTACTAGTTTAAGTATTTGCTATTGACTGTTCAAATGCGGAGTTTTGCGCATCGTGTGTGTGAGAAAGAGAGAGAGAGCGCTCGCGCGTGAGAGAGGGGGTCACATCACAGTGGAGTCAGCTGTCTTAACCGTGGCTTGTGTACTGCAAACACATACCAGCTTCATCACTGTGTCTGTCACGCGACTCTGTTCCCCTTTCGGGCTCTGTCTTTACATTTATTTTGAAAGATGAAGCTCGCGATTATGGTAAGGGGCGTTACATTTCCGACGAGTGCTTGCGGTGTTCAGCCAATCACAATGCACTGGGTCAGCTGGCCAATCAGAGCAGACTGCGCTTGTCGGAAGGAGGGACTTTGTAGAAAACGAAGCGTTTGAGAGAGGCGGGGCATAGAGGACCTACAATAATGTACAGTATTTGAAAAATAATGTGTTTTTTGAACATTAAAGCATGTCAACATATTCTGTTACACCAAATAAACAAAATAACGATCTTTAAAAAAGCATCATATGACCCCTTTAACATATTTACCGACATATCGCTTGAGACTTACTGATATAATAATTAAACAAATAAATAAATTATACTTCAACTTTATTTGGAGTATTACTTGAGCACAGTGCACATTTCTTAATATTAAGCCTAAAATGTATTTAATGTCACTATTAATGAGTATTGTGTGATCTTTGAATAGCATCGGTCCTTAAATGCAAGATATTTAAAGTGTACCTGAAGTATACTTGCAATAGTTCCACTTTAGCACAATCAAATATACTTCAGTATATCTATAGTTGGACTTCAGCCCTACTTCTGCACAATTAAAGTGTATTAAGTACAAAATTAGTTGGTCCAATTTAGCAGGCTTCAAGTATACCAGTTTAGTATACTAAAAGTACAATTGCAGGGTATTTTTCGTAAGTACATAAATATGTAAATACGATTCATTGCGGGTTCCCTCTTATTCCATACGCCGTGGTTGCCTTATGCTTTTACGCGTATGCGCACTTTTAAAAAATGCCACTGATTGTTGACATGCATGCCATACTGTGTAGATTGAATTGTGTATATATAAATAGTATGAAAGCTATAGAATGTACTGCGCCCAAGAGCATGATCTACATGTCATACTAACAAAGAAATATTCATTGAAACCATGTTTTCTGGAAATAGTGAATTTTTGAACTATGTAGGTAACAACCGAACAACAGTTAATGATGCTTTTGGGAAACGCACCCCAGATCATTAATCAATATGCTACGACTTTCTCCTACATAATTGCATATGTTTAGAGCTGTCATATATTGCTGCACCAACAAGATTTCCTGCGGCCTAATAGAGGTTTTCAGGTGGTTTACGGTTCCTCTGCTTTTGCTGACAGGAAACATTTTTTTCTTCTCTCCCCCAGCAAACCAATGATCAGCCTACAGCCGCTGACCCCGCAGAGTTCCTCAATGATGGACAGATGCCATTCTGCTTTGAACCCAGGTAAGAACGCACACAAACACCAACCTCACGGCTGTTACCTATCATGTGGTTGAGCTTCGTTGTGGTGTGACTATGTGCATTAGCTCAACGGCCCACCCACATCGCCTTCACACAGATGCTGTTTTACTGCCGTTTACTCTCCTGTTGTTCCAGCACCAGCTCATTCACACACAAACACACCTTACCACACTTTGTTTTCCTCATTCAGCCTTTATTTTGGTGTTTTTATTAGCCTTTTCTCACCCAGTTTAATTTCTCCATCTCGCAGTGGGGAGCAGAAGCGATGTCCGCTGTGTGAAGTGATCTTCCCTCCTCATTACGACCAGTCCAAGTTTGAGGAGCACGTGGAGAGCCACTGGAAGATCTGCCCCATGTGCAGCGAACAGTTCCCTCTCGACTGCGACCAGCAGCTCTTCGAGAAGCACGTCCTCACCCACTTCAACAGTAACGTGCTCGACTTCTAGTCGAGAAAAAGAGTCCTTGCCTCCACTTCACATTCTGCTCATTTGTGTTACAGTTAACAGCCACTTTAAACAGCATGTTTAGCTTTGAGCATTCATCTGTAGAGAACTGATCTTTTCTTTAACGCAATCAAGGTAAAGTCTGGATACTGTTAATGAATTCCAAATGACTGAAAGATGGATTTTGGGTGATGTTTTAGGGTCTTTATTTAAGTCCATTATAGTTGGGGATTACTTCTGTCAATAGGACTGTTTATTCTAACTCACTTTAACGCTTCTCATATCAAAGTTAGCATTGCAGGTGGTTAAGAATAATTTAAGAACACTGAGCAAAAGTCATATTAAAGCATTCTGTTGAGAACCCTCCCCAGGTTCCATAGTTTAAGTCAGGTATTGCCTACTATACTCTGTGCAGGCAGAGCACAGCTTTTTCTGGCAGGGCATGTATGTGACCAGCTAAGAGGGTGAGTCTATATTATAAATCATTTTAGAATAAGCTTTTAAAGATAAACCTTGATAATCAAGTTATTTGAGTTAGTGTTTTTTCCTTTATCTATTTAAATCACTTATTTCAATTGAGTCGCATGCTCACGTTTCCTGTGCACTGAAATCACAAACCTAGATCTCTTATTTTTGTTCCATTTCCTTAGTTAAATACTTTTGGTCTCTTACTGTGTGAGTGTGTCTTATATACTTGATCTAAACCAATAAAGATTTGACAAGCAATATGTATGCTGGTCATACTGGTCATATGGAATTGTTCAAATTGAAAACATTTACCTTTACTTACCAAAACCACATGGTAAGGCTTAATTTTGAGGATTATCCGTAATGATTATTATTAGAAAGTCTTAAAGGAACATACTACAATTTTAAATAACCATTGTTTATGAATTTAAGTTTTTAGAAGTTTTAACACCAGAACTTTTACTATATATCTATTACTAAAAACAATATGTGACCATGGACCACAAAACCAGTCATAAGGGTTCATGCATAATAAATAAGCTGAATAAATAAGTTTTCCATTGATGTATGGTTTGTTAGGATAGGACAATATTTGGCAGAGATACAACTATTTGAAAATCTCAGGGTCACATATAATATAATAAATAATAAATAATAATAAAAAAAATATTAAATGGTGGATATATATATATATATATATATATATATTCCTCTACATGTAGGAACATTGTTGTCCAGAAACATAAGAAAATATAATTTAAAGCACTCACATTGAGACAATACATTAAGTACACAATATATCAAATACTTCCCTCTGTACTGGCAGTGTAATACTGTTACAATGTTGCATCTAAACCGATACTGCAATTCCAACGACATCAACGTCCATGCAGTGATGTTATAATGAGTGATTGGCAGGCCCTGATCTGGCCGGCATCTCTGGAGGATCTAGCGACTCTTCATTTATACCACCCACAAGTCCAAAAGCAAATCAAATCAAGTACCTTTCTGATTCAAGGTATGAGTCCACACTTGAATATCTTTGGGTTGTGACTCTATATATCATCCCAGTGACAGGTTAGGGGTATAAACGTCCTACGGATTCACCAGAGACGAGCCAGAATCCGGATGAATACACAATCCGAATCACTTGGCTACACATATACTGTACTGGAATGCTGTGGTATACCACAATTCAAGGCAACCAGTTTCAATAATCTCACATCTAACAAGCACACTGGAGGTATAGCGAAAGAATGAATTCCCTAAGCTAGAAAAAAAAAAAAGGGAAAAGAACCTCAGAAAGAGAGACCTCCAAAGCGCCATATTAGTCCTTAGAATTTCGCAGCTGACTTGCAGAAAACATTCTGCAACTCGTTGGCAATACAAAATGCACTAAACAGGTTGGCAACTGGTCATTACAAAGTGCTTTAGGTTCTTCTCCAGATCGCTGTGGAGTTCTAGAACGCTCCTGGGAAGAGTGTAACAGCCTACTCTAAAATACTATCAGATCAGGATTATGGGTTTGAAATGCTGGCGATTTGTCACCCGAGAGTCATTTGGTGCTATAACTCAAACCTTTTCAAACCTTTTTTGCACGACTGAAAACTGCACATCCATAATCAATTGATATTGTCATCTCCGAAGTTCGGTTGAAAATATACAAAATAAAACTTAGGAATAAAGTATAGAATTTAAATCTGACTATGAAACTTCTAGAATATATAGTTATATACACAGTCTGTAGCTATGAATGTTGCTTATACAGATAAACATTCAGACTATTCAAGCCTTTCCTATCTTTTGTTTTTCTCGCACAGAGACTCGCGTTCACTCACGCGAGGCTGGTTATCTAGTCACGATTCTCACCTTTCCAAACATACCGTCAGTCTTACAATAAGCACCTAGCATCAAAAAATAAAGACCAGGAAAATAAAAAGATTAAGCAAATGTGCAAAAATACAAAACGGTGAACTAATAAGATACAAATAAGCAAAGGAAATAATAATAAAAAAATAACAGAATTAAAGCATGCAATTCAAAATGTAGTGTTTTGATAGATGGTTGAATCAAATCCTTCGCATGGAGGTACGGAATGATACAGGGATTCGGGAGTCTTCCTTGAGGAAGAGGAATATAAAAAGATTAAAGTTTCCTCCTCATGAGGAGTGGAATGAAAAGGGAGGTGAAGGAGTCTTACTCTTGAAAGAGTCAAATAGAAAGAGACAAACTGTCCTCCAGACAAATAACTGAGGACAAGACGGGTCAAAGTCAGAGTTCATGGACAGCCACAGCTGCTGGTGCGGATGAATGTGGAGATGTATATACATGTGATGTGTGTGTGGGGATGTTGGCACTCTCTACTGCTGCATCTTGCGGATGATGTCGGCAGAGACGGGCGGGTGGAAGTTGATGGTGTGGTGTCGAAGCCCCTGAGAGCTTTTGTAGCTTTTACCACACCGGCACTTGAAGGGCTTATGAACGCGGATCTGAGTGCGGTGGCCGTTCTTGGCGTGGTATTTAATACCATTCACATTCTGCAGAGAAGAGCAGAAACGAGAGGATCATTGTTCAGGTTAGACAATAACTGACTACACAGGAAATAAACAAAAAACTATTCACTGCTGCATTTAGATTCATTTTATAGACTGAAATTAATTAATAAAATTTTTTTTTTGTTTATTTATAATAAAAATGGCATCAACTGAGTCTGAGTTGAGCCCGCCCAGGATATTTAATTTATTAATATTAGATAACTCTCTCTCTCTCTATATATACATATATATATATTAGTGCTGTCAAATGATTAATCGCAATTAATCG